ATACCCATAATTGGTCCCAGAGGGATAATACAAGCTCTGATCAATAACAAACTCAGGAACACCTTCACTATACATAGCTCCAAAGCTTCCAAGAATCAGACTGGTCAACTGGGAGTTTATCTTAGAACTTCAAAATCTGTGAGTAGAGAAACAGAACACCGGAAACCAGAACACAAATCAAGGCAATGAAAATACAGAGATCCTCGACCCCAATCAAAAGAAAAAAAGCGAGAAAAATATCCCCACTTGTTTCAGATGACCGGAATAGACAAGAAGTATAGTTCTACACGAATTTAACAGCCACGAAATAGTTAATAGAACCGAATCCCTAAATTCAAAAGACCACTTTTTTTTCCAGCAAAACAAAACCAGAACAAACTGAAACGACAGGAAATGAAGGAGAAAAGGGCGATAAAGGATATACCAATAAAGAGAGAGGATTCCAAATTCACGAAGAGGTCGACATCGTCGTCAAAGTTTAAAACTGAGAGAGATTTCTTCAGGGCTGTATTTTGTTCAAAGAGGAAGCGCTTAAGGGGAATCGAAAACCCTAACCCTAGAGAGAGAAACGCGGTGAGAGAGAATTTTATAAGGTTTTTGTTTAAAAAAGAATACTCCCTCGGCCTTTCTAGTGGAGTATTACAGTTTCTCCACCCAAATGAGATTTCTCGCCCATTTTTTTTATTTACTGAGGAGTATTCGTATGAAATACGTAGTGCTCCCTATAACCGCATGTATTCCGTATTTTCCTCCCACTCACTCTCTAGGTTCTTTTTGTTCATCTCTTGTGATTTTGTTAGGATTTAGAACATGTTTTTTAGGACTTGAACTTTTAACTTCTAATTTCTTTTAGTTTTTTTCAGTTTCTTCCAATTACTTCCATTTTTTTCCAGTTTCTTCTAGTTCCTTTCCATTTTTTCCAGTTTCTTCTAGTTTCTTCCAACTATTTTCATTTTCTTCAAACCTTTTCTATTTTTCAACCAATTACTCTAAAAACGATATATTTTAATGTGATTATATTATTATTATTACTATTATTATCATTATTACAACTCTTATGTTCATAACTATGGTTTATAAATTATTTTTTTCATCTCACTATTACATTATGTGACATTTCTGATATTTAAAGCAAAATCTTATAATATATAAAGTATAATTAGAAATATATTATTTATAATAAGGGTAAATTCTATAATTGGTCCTTTATAACAGGGGGGTTTCCCTATTTAGTCCTCTATTATCAAATATTACGCAAGTGGTCCTTCTATTATGGGTACCTTTCCATAAATAGTCCTTTTTTGATCTTCTATCATGTTGTTGTTAATTTCAGGACCAAAAGTGTAATTTCACAATGATAATATATCTTTTTTGTCATACACAATTCCAACGGCTATTCCTTTTGCGTCGTTTGTGAATTACAGTCGCTTTTTACGACAACTATAGTCTACAAATGTGATCTTTCGTCAGAATCCTAGCCCACAATCATAGTCATTATTTTTGTATTATCCGCTTAACCAATATCAGAACACGTCACTAGACATAATGTTGACATCAAATTATATTTTTAGCCTTTAAATTGACACCAACACGGCAGAAGATCAAAAAAAGAACTATTTGTGGAAAGGTACCTTTAAAAAAAGAACTACGGGGGTAATATTTGATAATAGAGGACTAAATATGGAAACCCTCCTGTTATAAAGGACCAATTATGAAATTTACTCTTATAATAAATACTGCATAAATAAATTGAGGTGCAATATAACCACAAAGACTTTTTAAAATTTAATATTTTATATTTATGCTAACTTTATATTGTAATTATTTGTTTTTTGCAAAATTAGTTGTTTGTATTTAAAAAATAACAATACTTTTTTTGTATCTTAAAAGCATTCATTAAGATAATGTGATAATGATGATGATTATGATAATGATGATGACGATGATGATATTATTATTATTATTATTAACAATAATAATAATATAATATAATATAATAATAATAATTTATAACAACAAGAATTTAAAATAAATGTTTTTATAGTTTTTTTAGGTTTTCCATTTTTTGATTCCAGTTTATTCTAGTTTTTTCCAGTTTATTCCAGTTTCTTCCAAATCCTTTCAGTTTTTTCCAGTTTCTTCCAACATCTAGCTCTTTTTTTCCAGTCCTAAAGAAAAGGCTCTTATTATCTCTATTTCTTAAAATATTTTTTCTTTCATTTTTTTCCTACTTTCAACAAAGCACTTTCACTTTCTATTGAAAAATAATTTTTATCTTTATTTTTTCATACCCTACCTATCGCATCATATTTTTTTTAATAATCAACCTATCACATCTTACTTTTATCCATCACATCAAAGACAAAATTAATAGTCAACTAGAATTTAACACCTCATTATTTTTGCACTTAGTCAAACTAGAAACCTTTTGTTAGAACCAAGAGAGTACTTTTAAAAAAAATTGTTTGACAAAATCATACACTCTACTACTCGTTTTTAGTGTATTAATTTATATTTTCAGACAAAATTTTAATAATATTGCATAATTATTTTACTTTTTTTCAAAACTTAAGCGTTTTTAAATTCCTTATATTGATTTATATATCAAAAACATGCTTTAGAGTTTAGAATAAAATAGTTTTATAGATTTAATACATTTTTTTGATATTTTCAATTTATTTAATAGAAAATGTAAGTGTTAATGTTAATTTAAAAATTTAAAAAACTGAAGTCATAATCCGTTGGTTCGACCCGAACCCGATGACACTAGATCATGAACGTATACAGTTGTCAACCCGAACCCGAATTGACCAGAACCCGAAATAACTCGAACATGAAGTGACCGAACCCAAACCCGACCTGACCAACCGATTTGCCAACTCTATTTCCAGGTCTGGCGGGTAAGATCGAAAAATGTTTGAGCTTAGAGTTTTAGATAATCTTATTATTCATCTAAATTCTTTTAAGTTATTATTCACATGATTACATTTTATAATTTATTTACTTTACTCTATCCATTTTTATTATTTAATAAAATAAAATGAGTAAATTCCATAAAAGGTCCCCAATTCTACGCCGTTTTACATATTTAGTCCAAACATATCAAATATTATTAAGTTAGTCCCCAATTATTATATCATATTTCATGAATTGTCCTTTGTTACCGTTTTTGTTAAGAATATGGATAAAATTATACTCCCTCCGTCCTATAATGATCTTCCCGGTTCGCAAAACGAAGAAAAATCCCAAGTTTTTTCAATCTATTTTATTTAAATATTGGTATAGAAATAAAAAATAAAACATACATATTTAAAAACTACATCAAAAGTTCAACAAAACAAGTGGTGACAAGAATATTTTATTTTATCATATAGGCCATGAAAAAACACAAATAAATATAAATTCCCGTGAAGTTGGAATAGTGCTCTGGGAGATCATTATAGGACGGAGGGAGTATATTCATACTTCTCTCTCTCCTCAATTAAGATTCCTCCCTACTCTTATACTCTTTCTCAAACTCATCGCTGAGTTTGAAGCTTTAAGACCAAAACTAAAATGATCACTCCTCGCTCAATTAGTAGTCTTCCTGGTGGAATCTAAATCAAAACTAATAAGCTCAATGGATGACTATTATCGGTTAGTCTCAATAAATTGCAAAGAAAATAAATATTAAAACTCATCCATGAAAGTTACTGGTTTCGACTTTGGGTTCCACCAGTTCGACAAACAATTGAGAGAAGAGGGATAATTTCACTGTTAGGTTCAAAGCTTCAAACTTAGCGACGGGTTTGGGAAAGGAGTGCGAGGAGATGGAAGAAACTTAATTGAGGAGATAAAAGAGTGTAAATTTATATTTTTATCCACGTTCTTAACAGATATGTTAATAAAAGACCATTCGTGGAAATGAATATAATAATTAGGTAATAAATTAGTAATATTTGATATGTAGGTACTAAATATGTAAAACAACCTATAACTGGGGATCTTTTATGGAATTTACTCAAATAAAATAAACTCTTCACCAACTATTTTGCAGATCCTTTGATATAGTTTTAAAATATATATTTATAATTTTTAGTGGTGTAAGCATCAAGAATACTTCAATCAAGCATAGTAACTTGAACCACGAAGAATCTAGAGTACTTTTATAAGCAACTTAGATTATTATCGACAAGATAGAAATATATTAAAGTGTAACTTTTTCAATATTTTTGAAACCTAACAAACAAATGAAAGTATAAAATTTATTTTAAACATATCAAATTTTGAATTTATAGGAGTATTTGGTAAATTTTACCTAATACTATAAATGTATTATGGTTGAATTAATTTTAAGATATATTTTTAATATATCGTTTTTTGTGGGTAAATCTTTCGTTGTCCTAATGTCTACACTAATTTTATAGACCGTGATGTATTAATAACACAAAAGTTTGGGCCTATCATGAAAAGAAAAGGTTAATGTTTGGCTAATGTAAAATACTAGAAAATCCACATTTTATTTGTGTAAAATCATAATCTCTCTATCCTAAATCAATCTTCTGTATTTTCTTTTTGGAATGTCTTGAACAAATCTTCTTCTTTCTTTTTTTCTGTAACTCATTTTTTTCTCTTTTCCATGTCACTTTCAACTAAACACTTTGCTTTTCTTAAATTTTGTGCAAAGTCAAACCAGGATAATTAATTTGGGACGAATGAAGTATTTATTATTGATTAATGCTCTATGTTGTTTGGGCTAGAAAAATAATTTTCAACTATTTCCAACTTCTTTCAGATTCTTTTAACTCTTACAAGATTTTTCATATTCTTCCTAGTTTTTCTAATGATTTAAAAAATATTTATATATAATGATTGTACAAAAACATTATATATCCAAATGTATAACGTACCATCTTAAATATGGATATCTATGAACTCTCTTTTATCCAAATTCATCCGACTCGAATCCTTCGAGACGTGAATGTAACGCGGGCTTTTGACGGCGAATCTAAACGGCGTTCCGTGGAAAACCTGCCCAAAAAAAAAAAAAAGCCAACGTCCGTTTCTCCTACATTTCCGTTTCAAAATTCCACAAAATAAAGCCGCACCGTGGAATGGTTTACCAGATCTCTACGCATCTTTCTTTCTCCCCCCATCCGCCTTTTCATCGTAAGCCATTTTCATCTCTCTCTCTCTACTAATCTCATGCGTTTCTCAAATCTGTGGATCTGATTTGCTTCTGTGTAGTAAGATCTATCTTATCTGCTTTATTTTTTGCGATTTTATATGATTTACGTGATGATGATCATAATCGGGAACGGAAATGTGCTATGAATTGTCTGCAGTTATCTGTTTTTTAAAAACATTTTAGTCTAGATGTTATTTTGGCCATGTTTAGATTTGTTTTTATTCTCCGAGCTTGCTTTTACGGTCTGTGTTTTTCCTGATCTGCGATCTTGTGGCTGGAATGCCGTTGAATGCGTGCAGCGATCTCAGATTCGGGTGAAGATGACCTGATCTGTTGCATTTTCTTCATTTGGTGCTATTTCTGGGGCTGATCTGATATATTTTGCTTTGGTTGTCCTTTGTGCGAATCTGTTCTGTTTTTATCAATTTAGTATGAATTATGCATATGAATCAGAATGGTTTGTGGTGGAGATTTGGATTGTGGTTCATGGATGTTGTCATCAATTCGTCATTGTTCTTGATTTATCTGTTTATTGCCTAACTTGAGATCACTTGTCTCAGTTTGATTGAAAAAGATGGGGCTGTCATTCACCAAGCTCTTCAGTCGCCTTTTTGCTAAGAAAGAGATGCGCATTCTTATGGTCGGTCTTGATGCGGCTGGTAAAACCACAATCCTGTACAAGCTCAAATTGGGTGAAATTGTCACCACTATTCCCACCATTGGTATGCTTCTGGCTCAGTTTGATATCTTTGTCCTCAACTTTCATGCTCTCATAAAATCATTTCCAGGGCTCCTGATATTAAATCCAGTTTGCAATTACCCTTTTAGGAATCAACCAGTAATATTCTTTTGGTACTTTTTTGGTGGAGTCATGGTAAGTTTATCAATGATGCAAGTATACAACTAAAATCACAGTTTGTTGATAAACGAACACTTTTTTTTATAAAATAACCGTAAAACAGCTAAAATTTGTAAGCATCTGCATTAAAAGTATTGGAAATGGTTTGGCTTGCATAACGTAGAAATGTGCAAAGTGCTATTTCTCTTTGGCAATTTGACCACTCTAGATAATGTTCCCAGGGTTCAATGTGGAAACTGTTGAGTACAAGAACATCAGCTTTACTGTATGGGATGTGGGAGGTCAGGACAAGGTATGACCCCCCCCCCCCCACCCACTCCACACTCTTGTTTCACCTTGTCTATTTATCATTATATGGTCTGTTATCTATCATTGTTTAGTGAGTTATTCATCATATTATTGTTAGTTAGTATGGGGAAAGTAGTCATTGTGCTTATGGGACGGTCAGGTTCTGATTATGCTTTCCATCAGCACCTAACATAACTATAAGCTACAGATATTTCTGCCTGCTTGGTTTCTCTTCTCAGTTCTATATTGAATATGAATCCAATTAGTGGCTGACATGTTTTGGTCCTTCGGCTAGTGAGGAAAGAGCTTTTTTTGTAACGTAAAACTATAAAATGCGGCCTTTGAAACCGAAACAAGGTTATGGTGTAAGGTGTCTGGTTGTGCCTCCTAGTCATCCTAAGCAGATGTAGTTAATCAATACATTCTACATCTCCTCAAAAAATTAATCCTAAGCAGAACTAGTTAATCAATACAATCTGCATCTCCTCAATATTTGGAAACATAACTGTGTATTGATGTCTATCATGTTTGGTGGTTGCAGATTCGACCGTTGTGGAGGCACTACTTCCAAAACACTCAGGGTCTTATCTTTGTGGTTGACAGCAATGATCGAGATCGTGTTGTTGAAGCAAGGGATGAGCTTCATAGGATGTTGAATGAGGTATTACCAATATTTTATAATTTCACATCTGGAATATCAATAGAATTTTGCTCCCTACATCTTTAAATATATGATTCATTTTGGTTTGGTGCTTACTTTAAATGAACGAAGGAAATTGTTGTCTACCAATTTAACATTCAAAAAGAAGAAAATAATTTGTGTCCCTCAAAAAGTTAAAGAAAAGGTGAAAAGAATACAAAAAGGGCATTGGGGAAGTAAAATCTAATTGAACACTTGAGCTTGAATTAGGAAAGGGATATAATTTTGGGATGGACTTAAGAGGAAAATGTGTGTGTGTGTGTTTGCTTATGTGAATTAGGTTCGATTCAAACTCTTTTTTTTCTCCAAAACTTCTTAATGCAGGATGAATTAAGAGATGCTGTGCTGCTTGTGTTTGCTAACAAACAAGATCTTCCAAATGCAATGAATGCTGCTGAAATCACAGACAAGCTTGGCCTTCATTCTCTTCGACAGCGTCACTGGTAGATTTCATGAAAACTATACGTGTAGCACATTAGTACCCCCCTTCCCGTCCCCTCCCCCCCCACTTAAAAATGGTCTGGCGTGGAATAAAATGTTCTCTCTTTATCTTCTTCCAGGTATATTCAAAGCACATGTGCAACATCAGGGGAAGGACTATATGAGGGATTAGACTGGCTTTCAAACAACATAGCAAACAAGGTTTCAAGACTCACTATTTAGTAAATCTGCTTTGCTAACCATTGCACATTGGTGTTTTTTTAAAAAAAACTTGAAATCAATTTCTTCAATTCTTAAGACATTGAAAGTATTCAAATTGATTACAACTTCCCATTACGGCAATACGGAGTAGTTAGCAAAAGTCTAGGGTACGTGTGTGTGTGTGATTGTACTTTTACAGCACTGCTCAAAGAGATGGTTGACATGTTACTATTTTAAATGCAGGGTTAGTGCAACATGGAAGAGCTTTGGTTACTTCGGTATGATTGCATCAGTTTAATCTTTGACCATCGGTGTGGAACACCTTTATCTCCTTCAGTTGTAGGGTTTGGTGTTTTGGTTTTTGTGTTGAGATATTGCGGCGAGAGTTCAGTTTCTCGCATTCATAAATAACCCTTTACTTGCTTTTTTACGGTATTTTGTATGAAATAACACCCCGTTGCAGTCCATTAAATTTGGTTTTGTGAAGTCTGGCATCTCGTGATTTTTGTACATGCAATTGATTTAGTGCAGTTTTGTTGTGGAAATGATTGTTTTGGATCTCCCAAAAAATAGGCTTGTTTGGTAATTGGGAAACAAAAAAATTATGTCTTCCAAATTCTTCTAAAAGAAACCTTAAAAACTTCAAAGAAATCATAGTCTTTTGTTTTCATATTTAGAAAATTGTTTGCTATTTTCTCTTTTTTTGTTATTTTTAGAAACAGATTCTACAGCATTGTTTGCTTGTTTTTATTCATTTCAACTGGTGGTGTTTAGAAGAGTAAATTGGTCTAATATTTGGAACACTAGCACTACGAAGTAACTTTTAATAAAGTGATGGTTCATTTTTCATAATTTTCAAACTGTCAATTACAATCACGATTCTTTTTGACTTCATATTTGGAGCGTTTCAGAAGAAAAAAATTGTTCATTGATTATTGGAAAAATTGATGTAAATACTCCTAGAAATTTGAAATTTTACAATAATACTCCCAAATTTAATAAAAGACTCTGGTGCTCCCAATTAAACTATAAGTTTACATCTACTCCAACTATTCTTAATCAGCTTTTCTTATGCTTACATGTAAGTAATTATGCTTAGTTGACATCTTAGTTGTTCTTTTTGTTTTAATAAGAGAAAAAATTGTATAAATACTCTCTGAAATTCAAAATTTTACAATAATCTCTCAAAACCAAATAAAGATTCCAGTACTCTAAAAAATATCTTCCTTTTATGTGTTATGATGTTTAATAAAAGTGGTGTGAAATCAAAAAATAAATTATACTACGTATATCTAAAAACTACATTATAAGATCTATAAAACTAGCAATGATATAATTATACTCCATATTATTTTATCAAATACATAATTAAAATAGATAAGCAATGTAAATAAAATTTGAATTTCTATGAGTATTTATATAATTTTTTCCTTTTATTAAAACAAAAAACAACAACTAAGATATCAACTAAGCATAATTACTTACATGTAAGCATAAGAAAAGCTGATTAGAGATAGTGAGAGTAGTAATGTAAACTTATAGTTTAATTGGGAGCACCAGAGTCTTTTATTGAATTTGGGAGTATTATTGTGAAATTTCAAATTTCTGGGAGTATTTATATCAATTTTTCTTTGATTATTTCAAGGTTTGACAAATTTGGAATTTGATGAAATAGTTTACTACGTATCAATTTTTTTTAATTACTTTTAAACACTTTATACAAGGCTTACTCTTGCAAAAATACATCAACCATCGAAGACGATATATAAATAAACTCCATTGCGAACTTTCTAAATGCCTAAGAGCACTAGAAATGAGTTTGAAGCTCAGGGCTTCAAACTATCTTTCTTTGTCATATCAGCTTGAACTCCTTTTTTTAAAATTTTGTAGTTTCACTAAAAATGAGTTTGAAGTTTTGGAACATCAAATTGGGGATTCAGATCTTTATTTTTTAAATTTTTGAATACACATTTTGTAAAAATAAATTAATAAGATTTCATTAATTAATTGAACTTAAACGATAAAAATTTATTACATAAAATATTCACATTAAATAAAAAACATTAAATTAAAAAAAGATTGCATTAACAAAAAAAACTAAAGCATATTACATTTTGCATTGATCTCGTTTTGTCTTCTCTCGTAATACATTCGTTTGAATTCCGTTAACGCATCAAGGTCGGTTTTAATTATTTCGACCTCCTTCTCTGTCTTCCGATTCTCATTCTCTTCTTCCCTAAGATTGAACACACACATTTGTTCAACCATTGCCCCGCCGATATCGTTGGGAGAGGAAACATAGTCGGACCCTGTAGAACCTGAGGTAATTGGTTTTGCCTTCTTTCTTACGACCGGCCATGAAAGGGGTACACGTCATCATATTCGTCTAGGTTGACGGGAGGTCTTTGTTCCAACGAGTCGATGAAGAATCTTTTCTTTGACGATCTGCCCTCCGAGGTTGTCGAGTTGTTGTCATTTCGGTGAACGGCCTAAAAATTTTCACAACTTGATGGGGACTTTACCTTGGTGTCTGTCGTTTTGATACCAAACAGTGGCCTTCCGCAGAACATCAGCATTGTTCATCCCGCTCTTTCAGGACTGAGAGCATTTCTCGTACACTCTGATAAACTTTAAAACTTTTTTGTTGATGTAGCCTCATTTGGAAGTGAGTTGGTTTGAAGTTCTCGATACAATCTCACATCGCATCCTTCATTTGATCAAAACCTTTAAGAAATACTCCCTCCGTCCCTAAATAAACTTCCCCTTTCGTTTTTTCTTTGTCCCCAAATAAACTTCTTTTTTCCCTTAAAAAACTCTTTTACCCCTTACTTTTTCATACCCTACCTATCACATCATACCTCTTTACTAATAATCTACATATCACATCTTACTTTTACATATCACATCAAGGGTATTTTTGGAAAGTCAACACAAAAATATCCATCCCTTAAATCCTCAAAAAGTCAAAAAGGGAAGTTTATTTAGGAACGGAGGGAGTATATAATTGGAGAAAAAATAAAATATATAAAAAAGTATATTATATATATATATATATATATATATATATATATATATATATATATATATATATTAAAAAAGTATTAATTTTAACAATGATAGGATGCTACGAGATGTCAACCCACGCGAACGCCAACAACACTTCTTTTGGTGGCCACTTTTGAATGGACCGTGCCGCCTCGATCATCGGCTTTTTGGTCTTGGGTTTGTAACTCTTCCGGGCGGGCACTTTATATCAGTGCACTTGGTTCCGGTTGAGTCTTCAGAACCGACTCTAGGTCCTCCAGATTTACCGAGGTTTGGGTATCGAAACTCGTTAGATTATTTCCGTACGCCAGATAAAGCCATATTGCGTACTCATTTGGACCAAGCCGAACACAGGAACAGAGGAACTGGAGGTATTCATGATAAAAATTTAAAAAATATTAGAGAAAGATGAGAATTTTGAGAAAGAACTAACAATAATATGAGAGAATGGGTTGTGTGCGTATATTTTAAAACTATTGGACCGGGGGGATCCACGACCATTTCCTCAGCTCTCGCTGCATCTTACGTCACATACTCACATGTGACGCCCGCTTAACCGTAAAGGAACGCCGGATAGGCGTTCAACACTCCATAACGGAGTCCGACGTTATGTGTATTTCCGGTGTTCTCAATGGTGTAGACGACATAGACAAAGGCTACGGCCGCTACGCTCCATTCCCATGCCCAACTAATCCCAACAATTTCTTTAATTTATTCATTTGATAAAATAAAAGCTTTATAAGCTTTATTTATTACTTTAATTCTTCACCAATCTTTATATAAAATGAATTGAAAAATATCAATCAAATAATGTAGTAATACAAAACTAGAACATTACTATGTGACGAATTGAGTATCATATAGATAAAAAAACTAAATAAAGAGTACACATCAAGAAAAAACCAAAATAGGAGTTTCTATAACATCTATATTTACAAGAATGAAAAAAGAATGAAAATTAATTAATTAATTACTACATCCCTCAATACTAACAACNCCGTTGCACTCCCCCCACCCCCCACCCCACGACAACCAACGCCACCAGGTTTGCCTCAGTAGCCGCCTACACCACCGAGATCTACCATCGTCGCCACAATAATTGTAAAAACATTTTGATTCAATGCCAAAGGTTTGCAATGCATAATTATAAACATGTCATTTCAGAATGATAAATATGTCTAACGTACAATGCCATAAAAAGTGAAGTGACAAGAAATACTACTTTTGATCCTCAAAAATTTTCTTGTTTCAATTTTTTGTAATACAGTGACACTCTTTAATCATAAATTGTGAGAAAATTATATTGAATTATAATATAAATTCAATACAATTGAATTCATCTTAGGACATAACTTTGATATAACAAATTTTTATAACATTTATTTATTTAAATTACATCTAATTTATAGTCAAACAGTGTCATTGTCGAACAATATTTTTAGGACTAAAGTGCAATTTTCCAATATACAATGCTAAGTTTTTGTACGGCAATGTCAACAACAGAGATCTAAAAGAGTGGAAGTAATTCACTCGACCACTATGTTTTCACTTGGATCTACAAATTGAATTTTTCCAAGTACCCAACTCTTGCATTCAAGGGGTTTTTTTTACAAGACTAAAAAACGCCAAGACTTTGGAACAAAGACGAATGCCAGGAAGGTTCATTTCATTAAAAGATGGTGTTTTGTCATATTCTTACCCACAATTCTTATTGGCTTAATGCAGTAAAGTTGAAACTACATATAAAAAGTGAGACAATAAAATGGCCGAAAAAGCCAACTCCAAAACAAATTGAATAGATGAAAATGACACAAAGTAAAACCACTGATCCTGGTTTAATTCCCAATTGCTAACATCAATTGTTGTGTAGCTGAGTTTTGAGTTGCACTTCTATTCTATACCCCCGAGTTTAAAATGCATAACAAATGCTAAAACCCAATACTTGTGTAGCTGAATTTCGAGTTGCATTCTAAAAACATTCAATATTTTTTCCCCAAGATTACAGTTTGAACTCTTAAAAACGCTTTGTTCTAAAAAGCAGTTATATACTAGCATTACTCTTTGAAAAACAAGCTTATTACTCCATCCATCCTAATGTGTTTGTACATGTACAGACTATTAGGCAGAGATGCATCAGATGAAATCCAAGAAAGATTTAGTACTAACAAGTCATTTTCCCACTTCACTAAGCATTGCCCAGATGAAAATTAAACATTTGATGCATCAAAATGAAATCCAAGAATACTTCCACAATTCCCCAGAAATCAAAACATATTCTGATTATCATTCAGATTATCCACATTTCAAGCAAAGATTATACCTTAGCATGAAAGAAATAGCACAAAAAAAAACTGTGTTCAAGAAGGTATTAACTCAGCAAGTGGTCTAAATCACAAATGAAGCATGAAAGAGGGGTAACCAATGACTAATGAGTTCCAAAACCATAGCATGTAAAAATTAAGGTTAACTTTGCTTTAAGTGAACAACAAAAATTGATTTTTACCAATTTAACCTTCGAAAAGAAGCTTAATTTGTGCTA